CCAACAAGCCGAAACCCTAAACCCTAAACCCTAAACCCAACCGGGATCCGGGTTCAAGCGGGCTCATGGTGCACCAGTTGCGGATTTCACGGCTGATGGGCTTTTAGGGCCTTAGGCTGTACGGCGTCAAGGGTTTTGGGGCTTCAAAACTACCGTCAGATGTCATAGATTCAGATCAGCATTTAGGACGTTCAGATGAACCCGGTACAGATGATTCCCTACTCCAAGGACTCGAATGTAAAAATAAAACATCTGAGGGTTGCGGGAAAAAGCGATCAGGGGGTTCATCGGCGTGATACTCAAAAGATTGGCTCTTGGGGTTAGGGGATACGGTTTAGTTTTTAGGGCTGGGGCTCCGTAATCATCACGAACCGCACTCTGTCCCTTCGCACGTCTTGTGAGCTTTTCCCGGTCGAGATTTAAGCTTCGGTCTAAGGGTGCCAGCGACGAAGCTGAATGTAGGAGTATATCAACCCTAAAATCGAAACATGTACTTCTCCTCGTGGGTGCCATTGCCGAAATGCCAAGAAACGCTGGGAGCACCTTGCGCAGTAGATTGGCTGAGGACTTGGCTACGAACCGTGTCAATCGCCAAGCGGCGTCCAGCGAAACCCGTAGACAGCGCTGTGGAGAATCGCAGCCGGGCACAGACTGGAGAAATGTCCGGGGCGACGAGCACGGCATGGACCTCAGATTTTGTCGCGGCATGAAGAAACAATTCTCACTTTACCTCGAAACCCTAAACCCTCAACCCAAACCCTCACAACCCAGAGCCGGCAATCTAAAGCCCGAAACCCTAAACCCTCCAAAGCCTAAACCCCTAAAGCCCGAAAGCCTTAAACCCTATACCGCCTAGACCTCTACCTCCAAACGCAAAATCCACGCCCTCCCCCCTCCCCCCCCCCCACCCTAGACCCTAAACCCCAAATCCTGAACCAAAAAACAGATATTAAAAAAGGAAGCCGAGGAACCGCCACCGCCGGCTCCTCCGTCGTCACCGTCGACTCCATTTCTGTGGGCCTGGGTTTGGGCTCCCTTCTCTCAGTGCGCATTTAGGGCTTACGGTTTTAGGGTTTCGGGTTTTAGGGTTTAGGGCCTAGGGCTTTAGGGTTTTAGGGTTGGGGGTTTTAGGGTTTGGCTTTAGGGTTTTAGGGTTTAGGGTTTTAGAGTTTAGGGTTTTAGGGTTTAGGGCCTAGGGCTTTAGGGTTTTAGGGTTTAGGGTTTAGGGTTTTAGGGTTTAGGGCTTCGGGGTTAGGGTTTTAGGGTTTAGGGCTTCGGGTTTAGGGTTTAGGGTTTAGGATTTGGAGCATGGGCCCTGAGCTTGTGGCTTAGCGTCTTGGTTGACGCATTAAGAATTTACGGCTTTCGTTCTAAAGGGACCTATAATTCTTACCATAAACCCTAAACCCTAAACGCCAAACCCCAAACCCTAAACCCCAAACCCGAAACCCCATACCCTAAACCCCAAAGTCATTTCCAGGGTTCCGTCAAGGTTTGGGGCTTTTGCGAAAGGCTTTGGGTCCAAGGTTCAGGGTTTGGGGTGGGTGGTGCCTCGAGCCCAGGGTCTCATAGGGTGTGTAGGCTTCAAGGTTTAGGGTTTAGGGTTTAGGGTTTAGGGTTTAGGGTTTAGGGTTGAGGGTTGGGGGTTGAGGGTTAAGGTTTAGGTTTCGAGGCTTCAAGGTTTCGGGTTGAGGGTTTAGGGTTTAGGATTTGGGTTTAGGGTTGAGGTTTAGGGTTGAGGGTTTAGGGTTGAGGGTGTAGGAGGACTTCGGGTCGTGCGAAACCATATTATGAGGCCCTGCGCAACATGAACTACTCAGTTACGCTCGCAAAGAACCCATACAGCCCTAAACCCTAAACCCTAAACCCTAAACCCTAAACCCTAAACCGCATACAGCACTGAGCCAGGGAACAGGTACACCCCGCTGGCCGGAACGAAGACCCCGAAGAGCAGCGTCACCAGGTCGCCAACTTGCAGGTACGACCGCTCGCCGAGGACGACCTACCCGGCATCGATCGGCGGTTTAGGGTTTAGGGTTTAGGAGGTGCGAGAGCCTTAGCCTTCGACACTGAGAAATAAACTTGAAATTGTTGCAGAAACCTACAAAAACCATGGAACGAAGGATGATAGCAAAACAACCCTGGACCCTAAGCTATCAATCACCATCATAACTAACTGCCACTCACTCGCTTCAGCCATCTCCTGGGTTTAGGGTTTTAGGGTTCC